TGTTGTGTCCCCACTGATTCAAATGCTGCTCTTGCCCTAGGGTAGAGAGTTTTCTCTAGAAACTGGCCAAATTCCCCCTTTGTGCCACTTCATCCCATTGTATCCTGCTGCCGCGACCTCCAACCAGTGTGGACCTGGCACCCTTGGATCTAAGGAAGAATAACAGGAGCCCCAAATATAGAGAGGTTGGGGGGCTCCTTCAGTGGCACAGTGGATAAGATTCCTGCCCCCCCATCTAACATGGGGGGGGTCACCCGACATGAGCATGGCAATGGATGTACCTGGAACCCTTGGGGCCTAGGACAGATAAGAGGGGGCCTAGAACAGAGAGGCTGGGGGGGGGGCCCCCGTCCCCCCGACTTCATCCCATTGTATCCTGCTGCCGCGACCTCCAACCAGTGTGGACCTGGCACCCTTGGATCTAAGGAAGAATAACAGGAGCCCCAAATATAGAGAGGTTGGGGGGCTCCTTCAGTGGCACAGTGGATAAGATTCCTGCCCCCCCATCTAACATGGGGGGGGTCACCCGACATGAGCATGGCAATGGATGTACCTGGAACCCTTGGGGCCTAGGACAGATAAGAGGGGGCCTAGAACAGAGAGGCTGGGGGGGCTCCCCCTGTCCACCCCCAGCACTGCTGAATACCCCCTGCTAGGCCTCCATCTCCACCCCTCAGCAACAGTAAAGAATGCAGTGGCCATCAGCAGCTCTCGAAGCATCCTACAGAGGAGGTGAGCAAAGTCACCCCCATGTTACAGATGGAGCAGCTGGGGCCACTCAGCACGTGGTTTCTGGATTGCTTTGCACCCTCAGGTTCCTCTTATTTAAAAGTAACGGGGCTGGCTGCTTTTTGCCCCGTCATTCTGAATCTGCATTTACCAGTCTGCCCTTGTATGGGCATAGTTTGCAGATAGCTGCAAACTGTGTTGCCTAGCACAACACCTGGTCATAATAGCATTGATTTCAATTAGGCTGCCTGCATGCCTCAAAAGTCTTTTCTAACAGAGGTTAAGCCCAGAAAAGATCTGCTCTGGGCTCGTGTGTATCCCAGGCTCTGTTCTCTCCCAGCTCTCCCTGGTGGAGCACAGTAATTTGAGTTAGACTACAGCAGCTCAGCCCACAGATGACTACACTGATGTGTTCTGCAGCAGAGAACTATAAGGACCAAGGCACCGCAATATCCATGGCAGGGCATTGGCTAGGTGAAAGGAGTGAACGAACGGCCATACTGGGTCAGACTAAAGGGGCATCGACTGGCTATTCTCCTGTCTTCCAATAGTGGCCAATGCCAGGGGCCCCAGAGCAAATGAACAGAATGGGTGATCATCAAGTGATCCACCCTGTCATCCATTTCCACTTCTGGCAATCAGAGGCAAGGGACATTTCAGCGTATTGTTTTGCATTCATGCCCTTTCTGGCTAACTGCCATTGATGGACCTATCTTCCATGGATTTATCTAGTTCTTTCTTTAACCTTTTTACAGTTTTGGCCTTCACACCATCCTCTTGCAAGGAGTTCCACTGGTTGGCACGTTGGGTGAAGTGCTCTAAGCCTCTGCAGGTCCAGGCCCAGATCTGTGTGAGAAAATGTAGCCATCCATAATTTGTTTTTAAAAAGAGATTTAGAAAACAGTTTCTTTTTGCAAATCAACGGAAGGAGATCGGTATTGCAGAGGTTCGTTTTGGGTCAAACATGACCCAGAGACCTGTTCACACATAGAACTATATGCCTGGAGGAGACCTCAGGAGTCATCGAGTCTAGCCCTCTGCCCAAAGCAGGACCAATCCCACCTAAATCATCCCCACCAGGGCTTTGTCAAGCCGGGATTTAAAAACTGCACCACCAAAAGCTGGCGGGGAGGGGAAGGGAGGCGAATAATTTTGGGACTAGAATTGTAAGCGACTAGTCGACTATCGGATAGTTGACTAGTCCCTCAACTACTCTCTTCCCCCCTAGCTGTCCCAATTCGCGCAGGGTCCCCCCGCTGCACTTCAGCCATTTAAATGTATTAAAAGCTGGCAAGCTCTTCATACGTTTAAAAGGCAGAGCCGCAGCGGGGTTAGCTACCGGGGCCAGGAGCTAACCCGACTGCAGCTTCCCTGCTTATCAACTAATTGACCAGTCAATGGAAAATCCATCAACTAGTTGATTTAGTTGATTAAACAAAATTTAATTTGGGACGTGGGTATAGGTCTGTCTTTGCTTTGGATGTTTGGATTTTGGGGTTTGCCTCTGGCTCCTTTCCCAAGATCTAATGGCTAAAAAGAGACTCATTCTAGTCTGTCAGGAATACTTTTTAAAGGAGGTAGGGGGCATGTTTTGTTAGCTTCAGCAAAGGTTGACTGGGACCAATGCTTCTGACCCAGATGAGTCTTCCCTATTTGTTCCTTGTGATCAAGTTGCATTTTTATAACTCAGTGGGTTTTTAGTGGAATATTTCATCTCCAGTCGTCTTTTTACACCCCCCCCCCTTAATTTCTATTAAAATTCATTTTTTATAAGTGGGTGTGGCTCAGTGTGTGATGTGCCTGCAACAGTCCTAGTTCAGGGAGGGGCGAGGTAAGTATCTGTATATATTTAATAATATCGTATTAATACAAGGCCTCATCCTAAAGCACTGGGCAAACTAGATCTAGAAATCTCTTCACCCATCACTGAAATGCAGCCACTTCTGGGGTGGAGTCTGGCAGTTCTTTAACAGTACACAGCACTTTGGGTACATCTACACCAGTGGTCCCCAACCATTTGAGGTTGCCGGGCGCCAGGGGGCGTGGCCGTTTGCCCGCTGGGCACCAGGGGGTGTGGCTGTTTGCCCACCAGGCACTAGAGGGCGGGGACACTTGCGCACTCAGGGGCAGCCCCCCCCGAGAGCCGCGCACCCAGGGTCGGTGCCCCCCCAAGCGCCGTGCGCCCAGGGCTGGCGCCCCCCACCCCAAGTGCCACGCGCCCAGAGCGCAGGCGGCCAATTCACGGCACTCCCAGGGCTGGCGCTCACCATGCACCATGTGCCCAGGGCCGGCTCCGGCCACCAGCCCCGACTGAGCGTCTTCCCAGGCTTTTATAGCTGAGCTGCAGCCTGGGCATGCTCGGTAGGGCTGCGGGGGCAGGGCCTCTGCAGCCAGGTAGCCCTGGCTGAGCCCTGCGAGTTCAGTGTGGGGGTGCTTTGCCATGTCATACACCCTCCCCCTTAAGAGGGTCGGCAAGGGGGGCGTTGCCATCCCCTCTTCACCAGTCCTTGGAAAAAACTCTGCATTAGTGTGGACTTTTCCTGGGCGATGCACCACCTGGAAAACAAAAGGCTGAAGTGACAGGTACCAGCGCATGACCCGCACGTTAGAGTCTTTCATGGCATGGAGCCATTTCAGTGGCCAGCGTAAATCGACTCCCTTGCAGGGAATACCTCAGGGTCTCTACGGCCCACTTTACTGCGAGGGCCTCTTGTTCTCTCGTGGAGTATCTGGTCTCCCACGGGAACAGCTTACGACTGAGATAAAAAGTGGGGTGTTCTGCACCCTCCATTACTTAGACTCATAGACTTTAAGGTCAGAAGGGACCATTATGATCATCTAGTCTGACTCCCTGCACAGTGCAGGCCGCAGAATCTCACCCACCCCTCCTAGAATAATCCTCTCACCTATATCTCAGATATTGAAGCCTTCAAATACTTTGAAGACCCCAAGATGCAGAGAATCCTCCAGCTGTGATCTGTACCCCATGCTACAGAGGAAGGCGAAAAACCTCCAGGGCCTCTGCCAATCTACCCTGGAGGAAAATTCCTTCCCGACCCCAAATATGGCGATCAGCTAAACCCTGAGCATGTGGGCAAGACTCACCAGCCAGACACCCAGAAAGTTCTCTATAGTAACTCCTATCATCCCTCCATTGACCTATTTCCCACTGATAATGAATGGTCAATTAGTTACCAAGATCATGTTATCTCATCAAACCATCCCCTTCAGAACAGCCCCCAACCCTACCTGCGAGGCATCAGTCTGCAAGATAAATGGTTTATCAAAGTCCAGCTGGATGAGCACATGTTCCTGGGCTAGCGGCACCTTCAAGGTCTGAAAGGCAGCATCACCATCAAGGGTCCACTTGATGTGGCGCGACCGAGGATTCGTGAGGTCTGTAAGGTGTGCTGCGATGGTCACAAAGTTTGGAATAAAGTGGCGGTAGTATCCCGCCAGCCCCAGGAATTGCCGCACCTGCTTCTTCATGGTGGGTGTAGGGCAATCCTGAAGTGCTTGGACTCTGTCCACCAAAAGTCGGAGCTGCCCTCTCCCGACTGTATAGCCCAGGTAGCTCACCTCTCGACGCCCCCAGTGGCACTTCGCCGGGTTGGCCATAAGGCCTGCCCCCGCTAGAGCTCGCAGCACCTGTGCCAGGTGTTGAAGGTGTTCCATCCAACTGTGGCTATAAATGACGATATAGTCACGACGATATAGTCACTATAAGCAGCCACGTAGTTATTATGCGGATTTAGGACTTTATTCATAAGTCGCTGGGAAGTGGCTGCTGCCCCATGTAGGCCAAATGGCATTGTCGTGAATTGGAAGAGTCCAAAGGGTGTCAGAAAGGCAGTCTTTTCTTTGGACGTGGGCGTCGGGGGGATCTGCCAGTAGCCGTTGGTCAAATCGAGAGTGGTTATAACCCTGGGGTGACCGAATCGTTCTAAGAGCTCATCCACTCGGGGAAGCGTCGAAGCGGGAGATGGCGTTTACCTTCCTGAAGTTAACACGGAACCTGACTGACCCATTTGCCTTCGGTACTAGGACTATGGGGCTCCGCCATTCACTCCGGGATTCTTCTGCCACGCCCAAAGCTAGCATTTGATTGAGTTCTTTCGGGGTTTTGGGGCATTGTTGCCACACCCATTCTTGGCCCTCCTTTGGCAGGGCCTGCAAGAATTGTTCCAAAGCCACCACTTCTGCCACCTGGGCTCCCGCCCACTGGGCCGGCTCTAACCACCGTTAACATACGTCCCATATCCGCTGGGCCACTGCCTGTGGCTGATCCCGCACCCGGAACCTCTCTGGACGTAGCCCTTGCTGATAAGTCCCAGTGCTCACCCCAGATGGGTCTAGCATGGCTGGCTTCACTTCGGAACCTCCTAGTGTCTCCTGAGTGTCCTGGGTGGCTCCTGTCAAATAGGGTGTGAGTACAGTGGCCCAACGTTCAGTGTTCTCTGCTACATGCTGTGCAAACTGATTGGAATCCATCCTGTCTCTCCAACAAAAATTAACCGAGTCAATAAACAAAGTCCCTGGCTGGCCCTTTAAGGCAAGTGTTGTGCTGGAGGGTCCCAGATATGGTGGGGCCACACCCCTGGTAGGAGGAACCCGGACCCATCCTACTCCACCGGGTCCCGGCACAGGGCCCTGTGATAGGCAGGATGGCCCACCACTCCCTTGGCGGGGAAATCCCACCGAAACGCGCCAAGGTTCCCGGGGTGAAAGGGGCTGCTCTTGCCCCTGCCCTGGGTCATTTCCTACCTGGTCTGACAGGGCCCTGCAAGTTCAGTGCAGGGCTGCTTTGTCCCATCACAGTTGGACATTAGGAAAAACTTCCTACCTGTCAGGGTGGTTAAACACGGGGCTACATCTACGCTGCAGGCTTTTTGCGCAAGAATGCCTGTTCTTGCACAAAACCTTGCAGGGCGTCTACACTGCACACACGTTCTTACGCAAGTAAATTTACAGGACAGCATCAGAAAACAGGGCTTCCTCCGGAAGAGTTATTCCTCTCCCCACGAGGAATAAGCCCTTTTGTGCGAGAGCTCTTCCACAAGAAGGCAATGTAGACAGGCAACATGAATTTCTTGCACTAGAAACCCCTATGGCTAAAATGGCCATCAGAGCTTTCTTGTGCAAGAAAGTGTCCACACTGCCATGCACGCTCTTGCGCAAAAGCACATGGCAGTGTGGACATGCTCTTGTGGAAGATTTTTTGCACAAGAACTGATTTTTCTGCAAAAGAATTCTTGTGCAAGAAGCCGCCAGTGAGGACGTAGCCCCTGGGTGGTTAAAGGGAGGTTGTGGACTCTCCATCACTGGAGATATTTAAGGGTAGGTTAGACAGACACCTCTCAGGGATGATCTAGACCGTGCGTGGTCCTGCCATAAGGGCAAGGGACTGGACTCAAAGGCCTCTTGAGGGCCCTCCCAGTTCTGTGATACTGTACCATTAACTCCATTTTCTACAGCACCTGGGTCCTTGGTGGACTCTCGCTCATCCAGCTGTGAAGAGATGGCAGCTCTTTCACCAGGGATCCTGCTTCTAGAGCCCACTGTCTCCAAAGCACAGTTTGTGGGCAGCCAAAAGCAGAGCACAACGTTGTGAGAACGCAACCGAAGAGACAACCTTTCACTTTCTCCTCTTTCTCCAGTGCCTTTGCAACTGGGCCTAAGTTAAGCATTTATTTCAGTGAATATTCAGGTGAAATACATGCTGACATGAGAGGTTTTTTTCCCCTGGAAGTGGTAGAATTCTTCTTCCTGGGCTCTTGCTGAGGCTTCTAGATGAAAACACGTGAAGGAATTCTTAAGTTCTCTCCCTACCGTTCCTGGTGTCAGATTGCATAAGGGATCCTGTCCAGGGCGGCAATTTATATGTGTTCCCACCTGCCTTTTTCGATTTGGAGCAGCCATTTTATACCCAGCTCTCCTGACAACCCAGAAAGGGGAGGGCTTGGCTCCCAAGGAGTAAGACTAAAGATTTACAGCTGGGGCAGGTATAGCTTTACTTAGAGACATTCCTTTATATTAATAAAAACAAATTCTCCTTCCAATAGCCCTATAGAATGTTACACTGGGAAAAACTTTGGAACAGCTACACTGAGATGTAAATAATAAAATTCCCAGCCATGGAGATCCCAAAATGCTGAAAAGCAGTAGCAATTTTGCCTGGCTGTGGTTGGGTTGTCTGACTTAAAATGGCTGAATGGGGCAAAATAATTAAAAAAAAGCTAAACCCCCATGCTCTGAAAATCAGGGGTCTTTTGAGATCTGAGAATGGACCCCCAAAATCATTAATTGCCTTTCAACATGTGGATCCCAAAGCCTCAATTCAGCAAAACCCTTAGACATGTTTTGAGTCTTCTTCAGTGAGATTTAAGAATAGCACCAATTATCCAAAGCACTTGAGCTCAATGTCTTCATTAAGAGCACAGAGACACTTCAAGCTCAGGGTATTATTCTGAGGACAAAGTGAGTCAGGACCCTCCTAAGCCTGATTTTTAAAAATGCTGATGCCCACTGAGTTCAGTGGGGGATGGTGAGCCCTTGGTCTTTTGAAAATTAGGCTGCTTCTACAGGTGCCTAAATGTGGACTTAAATCCTGATTTTTTTGAAAACTGATCTGACTTTAATTTTCGCCTTGACACTGTTCTCTTCCTGCAGTTCCCTTGCCTTGAACATTGTAAATGAGACAGATCAGTTTCTGTTCCTAATTGGTTTCAGTTTTACTCTTGTTGGTCAGTTTCATTTTCTGGTTTTCTTGCTGCAGCCTAAAATTGTTTGTTTTTCAACACTGCAGTAATCTATTATCCCTGCCCCCTCAACTGCTATATTAAAATGTTTCTAGTCCTACATACCCATCCATGCCTGCCCTTAATGCTAAACCCTACATTTTAAGCCTACTTCCCTGGCCTCCATGAATGGCATGGATTTTATCATACATGTATGTACCTCGCTCCCCTTGGCTGGTGTTTTGAAGCTGGCAGAGTCCAACAGCCTGAGTTGTACTCAGATTGCTTAAAAATGCTCAATTGGGAGAGCCGTTCTTAGCTTGAATTTGAAAATAAACTTTAGGGCGAAAGTAAAACCAGCGAATTAATGGCACTGTTCAAAACCACTGACTAGACAATCTCTCCTCCCTTCTGTTTTGCACACATGTGCACATCTACAATCTCTCTTTTAATTTTGCATATTCCCCCTGAGCTTTATCAGCAACATCCACCACCTGATCTTAGGCTCTCAAGCATGAATACTGTTGTAAAGTTGTTTAGAAATATAGGGCATGCCACCTTAAAACAGATCACCCTGTCCTGTTTGCTGTCTTCACTGAGAGCTTATGCTTCAGAGCTTGAGAAACCTAAAGTTGGTGTGTTGTGAAACCCTGCTTATGGACTATCAGATAATTCCTTCCTGACCCCTCATAGTGGAGCAGATTGTGCTTTGAAGCATGGGATTGGGTCGCCAGGGCTGGGGGAAACTTTTTCTGCAAAACTCAAATCCTTTTTGATGGAAAGCTGGGTCTGAGACTAAATTAATTTTTTTTATAAAAATGCCTGCTGTTTGTGTGTGGAAATGTTTCCTTCAAAAAGCTGAATATCCCACATCTGAACTATTTTATTGTGGATACTCTGCCATAATGTCTCCTATGAGTTGTAGTTTGTGCCATGTGCTGAACAGACATCTGGTAATGATCAGTTCCTCTCCCAGGGACCTTAAACAACCTAGCTATTTACAACATCACTACCAATGTTATTAGCCTTAAAATTAACCCATACTTTAAAAGACATCTCCCCAGCTATTAAAATAAATATTAACCTGTGAAACCTGCTGCTGCAGACAATTAGTTTAACAGGCTCTTTACAAGGGCTAGCTGCTACAAGGCATAAGACCAGCATGATGCCTGACCTACAATAAAATGGCATGCATCACCAAACCCTCATGCTTCAGGACACATGTTGGTCACCAGCTGTGGTCAGGAAGAAATTTCTCTTGTCTCTCAATGGGAAAGTGGTGCAGGGAATCTTATTCTGAAGAACCGGGCCCTGGCCTCTGTTGGATGCAAGAGCCTGGACTGGAAAATCCATGGCCTGTGGCAAAATGGTTGTAGGGGAAATTCCCAGACTATTTTTGTGGAGCCAGGAGCCAAGCCTTAGAGGGTGCGTGTGAGCAGGTGGGGGCTGGGAGAAACGCAGACTTTAAAGAGCAGCGGGCCAGCCCTCCCCCGCCCCCCAGCGCTCTTCCCACGGTGGCATCTCTGCTCCCCCCTCCGGCCTTGCTAACAGATTTATCCATGTAAAATGGTTGTAGGGGAAATTCCCAGACTATTTTTGTGGAGCCAGGAGCCAAGCCTTAGAGGGTGCGTGTGAGCAGGTGGGGGCTGGGAGAAACGCAGACTTTAAAGAGCAGCGGGCCAGCCCTCCCCCGCCCCCCAGCGCTCTTCCCACGGTGGCATCTCTGCTCCCCCCTCCGGCCTTGCTAACAGATTTATCCATGTGGGTGCAGTAGAGTGTGTGTGTGGGGGGGGGGGGGGCGGGGGGAGCCCC